CTCATAATATAACTGTCATCGAAACCTTAAGCGTGCGGACCCTACGGGTTCGAGAACTATGTAGACATGACCTAGAACTATTCTCGGTCAATAACCAATAGCGGGACCTGGATGCCCATATTGACTCCTACATATTCTACGAAGATCTTTATCGGTCAAACCGCATAACAACATACGTTGTTCCCTTTGTCATCGGTATGTTACTTGCCCGAGATTCGATCGTCGATACCCAATACCTAGTTCAATCTCATCACCGGCAAGTCTCTTTACTCGTTCTGTAATGCATCATCCTGTAACCAACTCATTGGTCACATTGCTTGCAAGGCTTATAATGATGTGCATTACCGGGAGGGCCCAGAGATACCTCTCCGACAATCGGAGTGACAAAACCTAATCTCGAAATACGCCAACTCAACATGTACCTTCGGAGACACCTGTAGTACTCCTTTATAATCACCCAGTTACGTTGTGACGTTTGGTAGTACCCAAAGTGTTCCTCCGGTAAACGGGAGTTGCATAATCTCATAGTTACAGGAACATGTATAAGTCACGAAGAAAGCAATAGCAACATACTAAACGATCAAGTGCTAAGCTAACGGAATGGGTCAAGTCAATCACATCATTCTCCTAATGATGTGATCCCGTTCATCAAATGACAACTCTTTTGTCCATGGCTAGGAAACATAACCATCTCCGATAAACGAGCTAGTCAAGTAGAGGCATACTAGTGACACTATGTTTGTCTATGTATTCACACATGTATTATGTTTCCGGTTAATACAATTATAGCATGAATAATAAACATTTATCATGAAATAAGGAAATAAATAATAACTTTATTATTGCCTCTAGGGCATATTTCCTTCAGTAGTATCATAGGACCGGATGCCATGGTACAAACAATCGAAGACAGTCTTGTGCATCCGAAAACACCTGCGAAAATGATCACCGAAAAGTGCATCGAGGGCAAAGTAGTCAGCCATTAGTGGCAAATGGTTGCGCGCCCTGTTGCGGTTGAGCACTCGATGACACTTGATCGAGCCCTTGAAATTGAGAACATGCTCCTCCGCACGCTCCGCATCTTCTAGGACCGCATGCATCGTCGCCATCTCATCAAAGTACTCCTCATCCGACGAGCCGTCAAAAGACAGAACACACAGCTTCTATATGTGCTCCAAATCGGAATCCGTTGCTAGAAAGAAGAAGGGAAAACTGTTTTTAGCTATGGCGATTCATTGAGCACTTGTCGGGCATGGTGAGTATAGCAGTGGCGGGTGGTACCTGGTGGGGCGGAGAGGAACAAACATTGTCTTTAACAACACTCATCCACCTATCGACATTGACACGTACCAATCGGCGTTTGTCAAGGGTCGCGGAGGACAGGGGTTCAACTGCGTTGGGGGAGAAGCAGGGTGGAGCCCTGGAGGTGACGGAGACGTAGAGTTCCGGAAGGGATGTGGCGTGGCGGCCAGGGTGGTGGAGCGGTGGCGAAGACAAGAAAGAAAAAAGGAAGAAGAGAAAATGTGGAGGATGGAGGCGCAGGGTTCGAGAAGGGTTTTGGGTGGGGTGGAGGTATCGGAGTTCTACGTGTCTGGTGTCCGGACTCCCGCAAAGCTTCCTCACGTTTGTCTCCAGTTTGCAAGAGGAAACGCGTCCGGACCACGCTGCGGACCGATACGGGCCCGCTTCGGATGGCTTTCATGATCCGGACAGCGCCGTCCGGACGGATGCGGGCGCTTTGTGGGTCCGCCTTGGAGATGCCCTAAAGTTGAAGCGGAGTCGACAATGCGGTCCAGACGGATGCGTGCAGTTTGCAGGTCCATTGGAGATGTCGTAAGGTTGAAGCGGAGTGTGCTGTTTGCAGGTCCGTTGGAGATGTCGTGAGGTTGAAGCGAAGTGTGTTGAACCGGAGAGGTCAACGCGGTCCGGGCGGATGCGGGCGGTTTGAAGCGGACTGTGATTGTTATATGGCAATTGATTCAGTCAAAGACCCGCAAGTTTTCTAATGGAACATAATAAGACAGCTACAATTGTTGAAGAGTCAATTACACCACCTATGCTAGAACTTGGCACAAAAGTTCCTTTTAATGCTAGAACTTGTGGTGTACATATAAATGGTTCAAGAACTTGGCTTCACGGTGTAAATACGGTGTTGTGCACGCCTGCGGCGCGCCAGCTTGGCGTAGGGCGTGTGGCCTATCTTTTGCAAAAAGCCTCTTGATGATTTTTTTCTGATGAAAAAGTCCCTCGAGAAACTGTACATAAGGCTGGTCATAGTGGGAGTAACTTAGCAAGTAACATAACACTTTCCAAGAAAAAATTGCTTATGTGGCATGTAGTTAATGAGGAGAGAGGTGTTTGGAGTAACATAATATGTTACTGTAACATAACACATTCCAAGGCAAAATGAGTCTACATCTTAATAAATAATGGTTTGCATGATAGTACACATATGTTACTTTCCACTATGAAGGTAGTAACATATGGATGTTACTAGTCTAAGTTACTCCCCACTATGACTAGCCTAAAAGAAAAAAATCTACTCGTTCGGACTCACGACCTATAGGTCACATGCGCCGGTGGGTAGCCAGCACACCAATTTGGATTTGATGTCACTATTGATATATAGGCTTTATATATATATACTTTAGGCCTAACCAATAATTTTAGAATTTTAGTCCAAAAAACAAAATACAGCAGGGTACATAGCCGGGCATACCACCCGAACTCAAGACGTCCAAAATATAATTAAGCTTTGCATAATTTACAAAATTCATGCCATATAAAAAACAATTCATGTATTATTTTAAAACATATTCAGACAATTTAAAACATTTCTGAATTATAAATTCTGTTTATAATATTTAAATAGTAAAAATTTCAGAATCTGCAATCTGATGGCACACTAGGCTCATATTTATTTTTCAAACATATTTTATATTTAGTTTTAATTAAAAATACATACATAATGTTTTACAAAACACAAAAAATATTAAAACACATGATCTCTTTTTAAAACAACCTGAAATTTTCTTAAACCATGATCACTTTTATATACTACATGAATATGATATTAGAAATCAGGAAAAAATTCAACATATATAAGAAATTATTTAATATATAAAAAATTCTAAAACTAATTAAGCATTTTATTAAAATGTAAACAATTTTTAAAATCATTGTTTTTTAAAAAACATCATAAGATAATTATATGGGTATTTTGTTAAATTAGCATGTGATATTTTTTGATGCTATACGAGCATTTTTAATGTAATTTATTGTACTTATATGTATATTATTTATAGCACGTTATTGTAATTTATAAAATTTTAAAAATGCCAAAAACTAAAATGTTGAAATTGTCTGCACTGACTGCAATTCAGTTCAACCACATGATCGTTTTCCGTTATAGTCATGAAGTGTAAGTATACTGCAGAAATATGCTACCTCTTCGGTTGGAGTTGTATCCCGGGCACTAATTTAATTATATGAATTTTTGTTAAATTAGTTGGTGGCTTTGATTTGATGTTATATGAACATTTTTAATGTATTTATATTATTTATATGTATATTATTCATAGCACATAATTATAATTTAAATATTTGTTTACCAAATTTAAAGATGAAAAAGACTAAAATATTGAAAATGGTTTCACTTGCTGCAATTCAGTTTAGTCACATGTTTGCGTTGTGTTATATTCATAAAATGCAATTAGACATCACAAATAAGTCACCTTGCCTGTTGTGGTTGTATTCCCAGGCACTTATTTACCCTAAGGTTCCTGGTTTGGATTACTGAGCATGCACTGCTTTTTAAAATTAAAATTGTTCAGTCGAGTTTTTTTGAGAAATGTTCAGTTAAAATATGTTTTTTTTTCGCTTTGATATGTTGGTTTTTTTTAACATAGCTTACCACAGATGACATGTGGTTCAGTCGAAATATATAAAGGATATGTATCCTCATGTGACAACAAGGCCATCTAGGTGGGCTGGCAATCGGCAGGTCGCTGGTTTGAATCTCTAGCGGACCAATTTATTTTTTGTACTTTTTCATCAGAGAAAAAAAATGTTGAGGGGATTTTCGCAAAACAAAAACAGGCCACACGCCCTGCCCTCCCTTTTCTGTCACCGCAGTGGGTCCCGTCATGCTGGCATGCCTAGTCAGCGCCGAAGGCGTATGCAACATCGTATTTGCACCGTCAAGCCAAGTTCTTGAATCACTTATATGTACACCACAAGTTCTAGCACCAAAGTGGTCATCTGTACCAAGTTCTAGCACCAGTGATGTAATTGACTCATTGTTGAATGCTCCCAACTTGCAAGGAGTTAGCCCAGGTTGACTCACAGTACATGCAACCATGAGTCAACCAACTTGCTGAGCTCGAAGGTTTCCTCCGTCTGAGACACCGATGATGCCCCTGATTTTATTTCATCGGTGATTCTAAATGATACTCTCATCCTTTGACGGATGAAATCATTACCCCGACAAAAAAAAGTGAGATGAAAAGCAAGAGCAATCGCTATGCAGTGCTGTTGCAGTATTAAGAAAACAATTACTGCTCTGTTCCTCTGTTTCCTAGTCCCGCATTTCAAATAGGCCTACAACCATTTTCCATTATTCTGTTTCTCAGTTTTCTAATCCCGCATTTCAAACAAACCTTAGATTCCAAGTAAAGCAAATTTGTACCCTTTTGTTGCTGCTTGTCCGACATTGTCTCAGGCCATGGACAACTCTGACAGAAATCTTCAGTGGTAAAAAAAACCATGCCAGATCCAAACTGCATTTTCGTCAAACATCAAATTACTGCAAAAGCTCCCATTTCATCAAAAATCAAATTATTAAAAAAGCTCCCATTCTATCAAATCTAGCGAAAGGTTGAATGTTAGAACATGATTTATATACAAGAACAGGGAAAGAGTACTTTAAATTCAAATGAAACTGTTATCACACATCTCAGGCACCATTCTCGTACTTGGCGAAGGGGGGATTTGTAACCAAGTCAGAAGATTCTGCCCCATTCTCGCACCTTCCTAGCCCAGTCAGGAATAGGATTCATCTGGGCAATCTTTGCGTCCATGTTGGGATCAAAATAGATCCAGTCCTCCTTCAGAGTAAACATACCATCGACTTGAAACTCGTAGCGGCTGATGATAGTTTGAATTAGGACATCTTGCCTTCCGGAAGCCATCTCTTGGAAATCATCACGGCGTCCATTATATGTTCCAAAATATGGATGCACAATGTTTATCCCACTATGCTCACAGAAAAAGCAGCGAGCTGTCATTGAAAAAAGGTTAAATTAGATCCTCGGCCTCAACATAAAAAGAGAAATAACTAAACAAGGGAATCAACCAAGCCATCACAGCTGCACTTCCAACAGACATCACAGAAGTTTACTGCCATAAGAACAAAAATAGCATTCCTGATTAGTTGTATTTGTATTTGATAAAAGGAAAAGGAAGTGTATCGCTAATGTTCAAATGATGAGCAACAAAAATCTGGATATTACAACCTACATACAGCAGAACGGAATTATATATCTATTTTCTAGGGGAAAGATATGAACATAGATTGTGGTAACCATGTTAAGTAGTAATTCTTAATGCTAATTCAAAAACCACGCAAGGAAACTATCATGAGATGCATATCTAGTGTGTACAAGAAAAGTGAGCTGAGAGCATACTGTGATCTATCGAAGAACCCAAAACCGGCAAGCACAACGATGGTCTTTCCTCCTCATCGTTATCACCATTGCTACACTCAGCGAAGAACAATTCTCGAGGTGTGGTAGCAGGATCTGATCCCTTTGGTGTTGCCAAGAAGTTGATATGGAAATACTCATATTTGAACCTCTTCTTGTACAGATAAGTAGTTGAACCTTCACATACCTTGGGATTCACACCGCAAATAATATGAAGTTCATAGTCCACCTAACAGGGCAGCAGAAATGGTTGAGAGTCACTTTGAATCCTGATACACATTTAAATTAATGAATAAGTAAAAGAAGCAAATGTACCAACCCCTGTTTGCTGAGAAAACTTGTTCAATGCGGCATTGACCTTCCTGACATAGAACTCTTGGTCGGCCTTAAATTTCTTCCGAATGGCCGGAATTAACATCTTCTGGTTTTTATTCAAGATCTCTGAGCATGATGATACTTTATTCAGTAACCGAGCCCGCTTCTTTGATTTGGTAGGTGAAGATTTTGACACAAGCTTTGTGAGGTGCTCAACTGTGCAGTCGTCAAGCGCGTGAGCCAGCATATGCGACAACTTGGTGGGCTCAATGTCCAGGGACAATGTCGTGAATTTCACCAGTGCATCAGGGTCCGAGTGCCATGAATCAACCGCAGCTTTCTTATAGGCATCAAGGTCAGTGCCGCCGATAAGGAAACCAGACTGTTGTACCATCTCAACGGCTAACCGTAAGTCCACATTGGCCAAAAGAAGGTGCCAGAGAGCACCATGCTCCGAGAGAGAACTGAAGCGAGCACGGAGGAAGGCGACGATGCCATAGAGGGAGCAGCACTCGATGCGCATAAGGGTCCTTGTGCATATCATGTCCACCTGAAAGTCAAACTCGAAATCTTGGTGCATGGGGAATGCAGTGCCATACCAAATGGTGTTGAGGATGATGTTGGAGACAGGATCCATGGGGCCATAGCAGTAGCCGCCCTTGATGAGGCTGCAGTGGTGAAGCTGGCGCAGGCCGTCCCTAGGCAGCAGGGCGAGTGCCTCTAGGTAGAAACCATGGATCTTGCCGAGGAGCAGTAGCTTCAGAGTCTCTGTGTGTCTGAATGTTCCATGCATACCCGGCTTCCACTCAACAGACTCTGCGTTCCTGGGTGTCAGCTCACCCCTCTTTCTCTTCCTCTTTCTATCGGCACCAAGATCAATCGAGGCCCTGAGCAGCCTGGCAAGGCGCTTGACAGCTGCAGAGGGTAAGCAGCAGAGTGCCCCAAGAATCTTGGACACCTTGACCGTCCGAGACATCAATGACAGCGAGACGCCCACCAGGACTGCTGGTTCGGGATGCCTCGCGGACAGGGCGGCACACTCCAGGGCTATTTTGGTTGTAGGTGACATGATATTGAACACGGGCTCGCCGGGGCTCCTGTTACGGTCTTGCTCGATGAGAGCTACAGCGCCGAGGAGGTCGCATCCGGCGAGGCGCAGGTAGCGCAGTGCTTCTGTTTTCTCCAAGTAGCGGTACTGAAAGCAAAGGAAGCTGACAAGACCCTCCAGCGACCGCCGTGCCACGGCCATGGAGTCGACCGTCTCTGGGTACAGCGGTATATCAAAGATTCGTTCATCTTTTGTGTTGGTCCTCACCTTAGAGATGATTTCATCCTCCTCCTTAATTTCGTCCTCGGGGCTTGGCGTGTAGGAGACGGTGTTGGCGATGATGTTGGAGACCGGGTCAAGGAAACCGAAGCAAACGCCGGCCTTGAGCAGGCGCGTGGTCAGCGAGGGTATCCTCTCCGCCGGCAGCCGGTCGAGCGCCGACTCGTAGAAACCGTGGATGCGATCGAGCAAGATGCATATGTCCTGCCTAACGCTCTTATGCGTAGCGCCATCAGGACAATCTTCGCCTATGCGGCGGAGAGGCTTGCCATGCATGTCGGCAGACGCACTTGCTCTTACTCTCCGTCCCCCGGCGATGGGGGGTTACTTCAGGTCGGGTGGGTGGGCGTGGGGGTGGGATTGGGGGCGGCAGCAGCAGCGGTGGCCGCGATTACTAACTAGGAGTATTTCCTATTTTATTTTCGAGTAACTTGGCCCGAAGGAAACCCTACCCATGACACGATATCTATTCCCTTGGTCGCAAAATGCAAGACCATTTTTTTAGCGAACCAGGGACAGTGGTATCTCAGCCCACCCACCAGGGTACAAATCATGATGCTCGCATTTTTTTAATTTATTTCATGATTTTTGACGATGCACGTTTAGGAGACATTTCCATCGGCTACGATACGCCTATGGTGACTTTGTAAATCTTAAGATGATATGCTGCCTCAATCTCTCGAAGGTGCTCATAGGGGTGAGGTGTATGTGTGTGCGTTCATAAGGATAAGTGTGTGCGTGTAAATATGAGCGCTTGTGTCTGAACTGTGTTAAAAAAAGACCATTTTTTCACCCGCAAAAAAGAGAACATTTTTTGACACTATGATAGTGTTAAAAATGATCTTATATTTTGAGATGGAGGGCGTATTATTTTGCTTGGCCGGGCCGGTGATTCGTGAACATCTCCCCTCAACATGGCAATGTTTACCCACAACCAAGGAACCTGACGGGTAAAAACCCTATTAGGGAAGGGTTTAGAAAAGGTAAGTATCCACGAGTTTATAAGCCGGGTATGACACAATACTCATACTCGCGTACCGCATACATGTGTACTAAACCTTTCAATAGTTAGGCCTTATCTGTCATTTAGTAAATGTAAAAGAATTAGCTACTTTACCATATGCTGACGTAGCCGCTAGCCTCGACCCAAAATACTCTCGACTTACCCATGTGCACGATCTTGTAAAATGCGTCGATCTTGTTTGTGAACTCGTGATTTCTCTAATTTTGCTGATCTTATTATATAGTCTTTTCATTCAATCATTTCAAAGTAGGGTCCGCATAAGCATTTTTAATAAAAAAATTGAAAAAATTGTGGCTGACGGTGCCATACACCGGGGTACCCGTCCTCTGGGGAACAAGGTCGCCAGGCCTCGGAGCCTAACGTAGTTTGGGCCCCTCGCCACTAACGATGGGTCTCCTCCAAAAGAATACCTACTGCTTGTACCGCAAGACATGTACTCCAGTAGACAACTTGGGCATCAAGCCATGTAAACTGACTTGGGCCTTGTAACCCTAGCCCTCACCTCTCTGTATAAGGGGAGGTAGGGGCCTCCCAAGTCAGCGGCAAACATCTTTGACACCTCTCTATTAGACCTACAAAAGATTTAGTCTCTTATATGAGACAGTAATGTCAGGACCCCGACTCAATGCCACATCGATCTAGCATGTAACACCTCATATCACTTTGTGACCTCACGCACGGTATTCCCACGGGTGTCGCCTTACCTTTGCCCGGGACCGTTTGCATCTTTTGGCACACGTATATGATAGTGTCGCTAGCATCCATATGATAAGGAGTCCGGACTGACATGGCTAGTCGTGAACCCAAAGTGGCACAAACTTACAGGGACAGGCATCCATGACCCAGCATCGAACGTGTCGGTCATCAGCGAGTGAATCCAGACTGTAGCACTGGGCTAGCAGGACTCCGGTGAACCGGGCTGTAGCGGGCTAACAGGACTCCGGTATTCATCGCGTGACATTTCCCCGAAGGGACAGACACATGAACGAAGAAGGACACATGCCGGCCAGCCTAAGTGTTCCGGAGCAGTAGCAAGCTACCATGGCTCAGTGGAAACACTAGGAGACATTTCTCGGTAAGAGAGGCTACTAAGGATAAACAACTAGATAGTCAGATCCCACACATACCAAGCATTTCAATAACATACACACAATATGCTCGATATGTGCAAATACAACATGGCATCACAACATGACTCTATAACTCAAGTATTTATTCAATAGGCTCTGAGGAGCGAGATATTACAAACAGGGGTCTCATGACCCAACATTCAGGGCATACAAATCAAAGCACAAGCGGAAGCTATCATGTCTGAGTACAGACATCTATAAATGAGAAAGGCTTGAAAGCCTGACTATCTACCAGATCCTGCCGAGGGCACAAGATCGTAGCTGAGGTAACAAGCTAAACGTCGAAGACCACGCGGAATTTCTAGTGAGACTGAAGTCTCTCTGCAAAAAACATAAATTAGGCAAACGTGAGTACAAATGTACCCAGCAAGACTTACATCAGAACTAACTACATATGCATCATTATCAACAAAGGGGATGGTGGGGTTTAACTGCAGCAAGCCAGCTTTGACTCGGTGGCTATCCTAAACTACGACTGCAAGTAACTCTTTTGAGGTGGCGCACACGAGTCCACATATTCACCATATCAATACACCACTATGGACCCGCTCCCGTCTCCCTACGAGAACGCCATCCATAGCACTCACGCTTATCTTGCGTATTTTAGAGTATCCACTTTCACTTGTCTATGAACTGATATCAGCAACCCAGAAGTCCTTTTCCGCGGACACGGCTATTCGAATAGATCATGTTAACCCTGCAGGGGTGTACTTCTTCATACATGTTTCCACCACTTAGCGTCTGCACACGGTATGTGCTCGACAGACTTCAAGCGAAAGCCGACGTGGGTGTAGACCACGACCTACCTAAACACTCAAGTCTCTAGTCCAGGTTTATCGCCTATTCGGGTTCCATCCATGAGGAGATCCGACCGGAGTTTCGCTCACAGCCCCAAACAATGTGAACAGGGTTCCGTGACACCAAACGGGCGCCCGGTATACCCGGCCACGTGCCTACCGCATCACAGCCCACCCCTCTGGTCAGCGCTGTGCACGGCCTCCAGCATACTACAAACACCAGAAACTACTTGCAACTCCTGGACAGAGGACTAGGGTGAATAAGAAGTCGAGCGGGGTCATATTTCAGGGCCCAATGCATGGTAGTAGCTGAATCATGGATCACAAACACAGAACTCAGTTCCTGAGGACGGCTGCAATGAGACAACCCACCATGTACTCCTACATGGCCTCTCACCGCTACCTTTACCAAATCGTGTTCACACACTTAGCTCACACACAGTAGGACATGTTCACACGCCTCTGATTCATCCCCGATGAATCAGACCTGACTCAACTCTAAGCAGTAGCAGGCATGACAAACAAGCAAGAATGAGTAGGCACAACAGGGCTCAAACAACTCCTACTCATGCTAGTGGGTTTCATCTATTTACTGTGGCAATGACAGGTCATGCAGAGGATAAAGGGGTTCAGCTACCGCAGCAAGTAACAGATGAATCGTTGTTGTCCTAATGCAGTAAAAGAGAGCAGGAGCGAGAGAGTAGGATTGTATCGGAATGAACAAGGGGGTTTTGCTTGCCTGGCACTTCTGAAGATAACATTGAGTCTTCATCAGTGTCAACGATCACATCATCGGTACAACGTCTATCGAGAGGGAACAACACCGGCAAACACAGAAGAAACACGATCAATGCAATGCACAATATGATGCATGCTATGACATGGCAATATGAATGTGTTTTGAGCTAATGCAACTAGCAACAGAATAAATGAAGTTGGTTTGAATACAAGATTCAAATTCAAACTCCATATGTGATTATTCAAATGCCATTTAATTGATTTGTGCTAAACAGCAGCTATAAGTTGTTCTAACATGCATGAAAATGGTACAGATGGATTCCTTGAATTTTTCTGACAATTTTTCATATATAAATTATTTAATTTGAAGTTACGGTTGACTTTCTATGAGTTATTGAAGTTTAGGGCATTTTCTGAATTTATTAAATCATTTAAGATTTATTTAAATTCCAGAAAGGAATTATTGCGTCAGCATGACCTCATAGTGACGTCAGCAGGTCAACAGGTCACTGTCCGGTCAAACCTGACAGTGGGTCCCGCGTGTCAGTGTCTGGACTAACTAACCTAATTAAAATTAACCCTAACTAACTTGGTTAGCCAGGCGGGGGCCGCATGTCAGTGAGTCAGTGGCTTAATTAAAATTAGTTATTAACTTAACCAAAAGTTAGCAGGGGACGGGCCCACACGTCAGTGACCTAGGGGGGTCAAATTCCTGGTCAACCGGGGCTAATCCACCGGCGTCTAGCCGCCGACAACGACCAGACGCGGCGGTGGCTCGCCGGAGTTGCGCCAGAGGCGACGGATCGACGCGCCAAGGGCACCAGGAGGTAGCCCGTGCCCGTGCGCATCTAGGGGGACCAACGGGAGGTGCGGGGGTGGCCGGGGTTCGCCGGAGTTGAGCCCGAGGCGGCGGCCGGAGCTCGGGCGAGCTCGGGTTCGAGGCCACAGCGGCCTTGGCGACACGGGGATAACACCTACGGTGTCTACGTGGTGCGGCGAGAACGTTGGACGCATGCCCGGGACCGAATGGTCACCGGAGCGTCATCGCCGGCGAGCTTTGGCGGCGGCGCTGTCGGGTGAGAAAGGCACGGCGGCTACGGCATACTAGGGAGAAAATGGA